TACTTCTAGTTGGGCTCTCTGCTAGATCCTAGAAATGGGAGAGGGCAGGTGCTCTTTATTTTCTCCACAGTCTGCCCTTTGCAGCCCTCAGACTCAAAGCCTCTGTCCTCCAAATGGTAAGGAATTTTCCCTACCTCATTTCCTGTCTTAGCTATCTAGTGCTGCTAACAAAATACCTCATATGAATGGCTTTAACAACCAGAAACGTCTTCTCTCACAGTTTAGGAGGCTAAACATCCAAATTCAGAGCACCAGCTACAGGGGAAGGCTTTCTCCCTCTTTGGGCTCTGGGGCAGGTCTTTGTCACTAATCTTTCCCTGAATCTAGGGCTTTCTCAGTGCACAGGACAAACTCTGCTCTGCCTCTTCTTTCTTGGTGATAGGAGGTTCCCCTGATTGCAGCTTGTTGTTTAATCTCAAGATACAAGTGAATCCTGTCGATTGCATCCTGTCTCAATAACATCATAAAAATGAGCATTTACAACACATAAGATACTTCCATCAGATCACAAAATGGAGAATAATTGCATACTACTGAGCATTCTGGACATATTTGTAGGGGACACAGTTCAATCCACAATACCTCCCTTGCAGGAGAGGGATGACCCCATGGCAGTTTACAGTGATGTTGGCACAATGACATCATCCCATCTCTGATAGTACAATTCTGTACCTCACTGGCATTTGAAATCTGCCCTCAGTTCCTGAGACTCTCCTCTAGGGCAGGTGACTTGGGAGGCTGAGGCTTGTTTCCAGCAATGCTGATATAGTCCACAGACAGAAGGGGGTTAGGCTTGGGCCTCCAGTTGGAGTGGGTGTTGACATAGATGGAGTCCTCAGTGCCAAAGTGGTTTAGGTGGATCAGCGAGGCATAATGGATGCTCCCAGTGTCTTCATCAGATCCCGACAGCTGGTCAAAGCACTGGTGATCAGAAAAGACAGAGATGTTCATTGTATGCATTACAGCTGGGAGTGGTCAGTGGTCCCCTGGGGCAGGGGGCGGCAAGCGAAAGGGAGGTGTCTGTGAAACAGGGGATAAGGGATTGATCCCACAGAGGCGTTGCAGAATGGCTTGGGAAGAATTGCTGAAGGTGGTGTGAAGTCCCCATCTCTGGAGAAGAAGCTATGCAGGGCTGCAGAGTACAATCTGTGGGCTAGCAGCTTTTGGGGGTTTGTTAAAGATGCACAGTCTCAGGCTCCACCCCAGGTTTCTTGTTGTGTGTGGTTGAGTCAGTTCCGACTCATAATGACCATAGGGTGTCACAGTGTGTCATAGGGTGTCTGATGGATTATCAGTGCGAGTGCTTATCCTACAGCACCACAGCTGGGTCTGAGGCCCAAGAAACGAACTGTATTTTAATAAGCTGTTCTGGTGATTCGTGCTCACACTCAAGTTTGGTAGGGGTGGTAGAGGTGATGCCCTCATTACATAGATGGCTGGACCAGATGGCATCAGGTCCTCCCAGTCCTGAGATTCTGTGCTGCAGAAAGTTTCCATGCTGAGAGATCTTTAGACATGATAGACCTACCCCAGGGAAACCATCCAGTCCCTAGTGTCTGCTGAGAGAGTACCCTAGGGTGCCATATTCTTTGCCATGGGACACCCTTCCCCACAGCTCATGGGACCAACAACAGTCAGTCCGTAGTCCTACTTAGGAAATGGGCCTATCACCAGTGGGAGTGATGGCTGGGTCAGCCAACCTTTCGCACGCGCTCTCTAAGGAATTAAAGTGGAAACTACAGGGAAAGAATGCGCACAAGTAGACAGGATACCGGTAGCAGGGGCATGAGGAGCCACAAGTGAGTCCGGGGTTCAGAGTAAACAGAAACTAGGAGTAAGCACAAGCTAGGAAGTAAAATAAAAGGTACACAGGAAAGCTAGATCCCATGGCCCAGGTGAGGGTTGTTCCTGCTCACAGTGGTCTCCTTCTGGACTGAGATGTCATCGTAGATGTGGTGGGATTTGTCCTCATCTGCAAAGGAAACATTCAATGTAGGAGGAGCATGCCTCAGTATGAACCCCCCACTCCCCCCAGGGAACTAAAAGAAGCTGAGGGTCCTGGCTGGACTTAAAGGGTCATGGCGGCAAAACTCAAAGGTTTGACTCTCAGAGGACACTTTCCAGGCTGGGGAATATCACAGACGCTTAACACAGATGAGTGTCCAGAGATGTAAGGAGCAAAACAAAGTGGCTGCTGTCAATTCATTTGCTTAAAATTAGGAAACTTTTAAACCAATTCCAGGTCACTGAAAATTCCAAATTGCTGTATCAAATTCAAGCATATTCTATTTGCTGATGAAGCTGTCTACAGTAATGTCTCTTAAATATTTGGCCCAAGAGCCATAGTGAGAAGCATTTTACCTCATTGCTCCACAGACATAAGTGCTCTTACACACAAGCTGACGTGCACACATACACACACGCTACACAAATTCACACATATGCTCACATGT